CGCTTTTTTCAGTGCCATTGTAACTTTGAACAGTCACTAAATGAATTCTTGTAAATCAAGGATTACCTGTATCCAGGAATGCAACATAGCTGGAAAGAAAAAGCTGAAATCTAAGCACCTTAATTCAGGCATTGTTTTGCCAATACTAATCTATTTTGATCTATAACTATTTTCTGGATATCCCCCTCCCCTCCCTTAAAAAGTTTGTTTTACGGGGTTTATTTTAGATGAGTATATTACAGACTCGAACGTTGGATCATAAGAAAGGCTGAGCGCTAAAGAATTGAGGCCTTTGAACTATGGTGCTGGAGAAGACTCCTGCGAGCCCCTTAGACTGCAAGGTGATCAAACCGGTCAGTCCTAGAGGAGATGAACCCTGACTGCTCTTTAGAAGGCCAGATCCTGAAGATGAGACTCAAATACTTTGGCCATCTAATGAGAAGGAAGGACTCACTGGAGAAGAGCCTAATGCTGGGAAAGATTGAGGGCAAAAGAAGAAGTGGCCAACAGAGAATGAGGTGGCTGGATGGAGTCACTGAAGCAGTAGGCGTGAGCTTAAATGGACTCCAGAGGATGGTAGAGGACAGGAAGGCCTGGAGGAACATTGTCCATGGGGTTGCGATGGGTCGGAAACAACTTCGCAACTAACAACAAAATTACAGGCTCAAAGGACTGCTTCTGGCTAAGAATGCTTGTTATATAGAACTATGCTAAGGATCTCAGAATTTGGGCACGAAGATTGTTCCTGTTCCCATGAAATCTAAGAATCAAGGCCTTCCCTGACATTTTACGGAGATGTGCAGATTCTTCGGCAGAGTGGAGCCTGACATCTTGCAAGCCCATAAATATTTATCTATCTTACTCAGTCCAATATGAATTACTTTTGAGTGCTAGGAGAATGCTGTTGCAAACAATGTTTACTTCTGAAGTGATTACTCCTTGGGGGGGAAAAATGTCATTTACACTGCCCTCTCTTGTTTTCTTAATTGCCTTGACTTATTAAAGACTAAACCATGAAATCCTCACACTCAATGGATGATTACTGATCAGGTAGGGATAAACATTTAACTAATTTACTAATTTTTTTTTTTAAAATAGTAGTAACAGTTTGTGATGCTGAATCAGAACAAAATAAAAAGCAGTTCAGTGTAAGAGTTAAAGGCAGGGCTATACAAATGCTTTGAAAGAGGAGCTTCAGAATCCCCTAGCATTTATCTGAGATTGGTTTGCTTAAACATTAAAGTAGATGCATCATTTTCTAGGCTCATGCAAGCATTTCAGAAAAAGTTCCCATTAGTCTCCGCTCATGTGGGGAGGAAAAATCAAGTGTCCATGCATCCATGTACAAGTGCAAGGAACAGCTTCGGAAGCAGCCTCACCAGCCGTTAAAAGGTGAGACTGCTTTAATGATTCAAAAGGAAGTGCTCCCACCAGACCAAAGAGAAAAATCTTTACAAAAACCGTTTGGAGTTATGCTGATAATTAACCTTATCAACCAGCATTGGGGGGGGGGAGCCACTGCTGTGATTGGACTCCTGTTATTGAATATTTAAATATATATTAGTGCAAGGCAAAAAGAAATATTGTGCCCCCTTTTACAATTCTCATTCAATTTGAGGAAAAAGAACTTGCTTTAGACTTTTGAGAAGATAAATTTGAGATTATTTTTCATAAAGGGTACATGGTATTCTTGCACTGATATAATTACAAGGTAGCCAAAAGAAAATGTGCAACTATCCTGCCTTGACTGGACCATTCTCTCTCCAGTGGGCTGCAACCTGCCTGGCTTCCCACTTCAGTTAAATCCCAGGGGAAGATACTGGTGAGATCTCCTTGCATTGTGCTGTTCAGGAGCAGTGTTGCAGTCACTGCTAGGGAGAAGTCCTGATTTTGGGAAATGGCTGGAGAATTATCTCTTTCCTCTGGAGAAATCATCTACCAGATTTCTCAAATTACTTTTTTGGCAGAAAATTAGATAGATAGATAGATAGATAGATAGATAGATAGATAGATAGATAGGATAGATAGATAGATAGAGACAGACAAAGAGATAGATAGATAGATAGAGACAGACAAAGAGATAGATAGATAGATAGATAGATAGATAGATAGATAGACAGACAGACAGACAGACAGACAGATAGGTAAGTAGAGATAGATAGATAGATAGAAGATAGATAGATAGATAGATAGACAGACAGACAGACAGACAGACAGACAGACAAGTAGAGATAGATAGATAGATAGATAGATAGATAGATAGATAGATGACAGATTTTCTTGTTATCCTAGGGAAGGGAATCACTCTTGCATGAGAGAGCTCTGGGGAAAAACATACGTAGCTATAACCTTACTTTTCTGATTATTTTCAAACAAAGGACACAAGTAGATGGAAAACGAGAGGAAAAACAAGAAGGCGAAGGATGCTTACATGATTCCTACTGAAGCAGCTGTCACATTTCCTTTTAAATGCTCCATACAAGTATTTTTCATCTTTGTGCGATGTCCTCCAACAGACAGAAAAGCCACATGTGTGAATTTAAACAATAGCACTTCTCATTTTTAGCATTAGCACGCTTTTGCTGACAATCTAGCTGGAAATGAGAAAGTGCTAAGTGTTATAAATGGAAGCTCATTGCTAAAACAAACAAAATGCTAATCCAAACACCATCATAAGCCTAGGATGTATCCATGCCCCCTCTATTTGGTGAGGCAGGGCCAAAGGCAAAGTATTCTCAGCAGGGATTTGAAAAGTTAGCTGGAAAGCCAAGTGAGGTGAATGTCTTTGTATATCCAGAAGCAGACTGCCAGCTCGTGTTTGAGAGGAGCAATTCCCAGCAGAACTTATGTGCAATCAAGATAACACCCAAAAAAACCCAAGTGCAGGATTTTAAGGGCATGTAGTACGTTGATTTTCACATTTCGTAATAACTACAGCAAAATTACATCGACACAGGATATAAAAAAAGAAAAGGGATCTGTGTCTTTGTCGGTTACACCTATGTGAAGATCCATCTTCTTTCTGGAATAACAGAGCTGAACCCCTCTCCCAAAAAAAGTGTTCCTGAAGATTAATTAAGGACAGCAAACTCTAGGGAATGTCGTTTCATCTCTTCATCAATCTGCCTTGCATCAAGCAAAACTCTCTCATAGTGTTAGCATATTGTTAAAGCCTATTTTCTTTTCACTCCCTTCTATCCGCCAAAAGAGCATATTCGTGTTCCCATCATAAATTACTGGGATCTGAAAAAACATACAAGTACTGGAGATCTAGGCCTTCCTGTGATTTATATTTTTATAGACTGTTTTTTAACAAAATCCCTACAAAAATCATGACTATGGAGATAAGAATCTATTCACTTCAGAAACATTTCTAGCTTAGGAATTATGATTTAAATCCTTTGCAATGACATACTGGTCTCTTTGCCTTGAGAGACATCATTTAGCTCATTCTTTTCAAATCCGTTCCTTTTTCATAATTCAGTGGTGGACCATCTACAATAATTCACTCAAAAATATTGACAAAGTTGTTCTTGGTATAAGTAATTAACATTTAGGGACATCCTGACAAATCATACTGCAATATATTTACTGATTCCCTCAAAGTCCTCTAATGAATATTCACCAAGACATTTTCCATCATCCTGAGAAATTCCAATCTTCAATTCCTATGACTCAAAAGAATAATGAATGAACTTCACATACAACTACTCTAAAATACTTTCAATGTTCCAGTGATGGCATTTTCCCACAATCATATTAAAAATAAACCAGACCATGTTTTTTCAAGTTAAATTCTCAGAAACAGAATCATTCACATTTCTTCAAGAACTCAGCTCTTAGTTGACTTTGGTTGTCTTTTGTTTAGAAGATTTGCCAGTTTAATGGAAAACCTTTTAATACTGAGAAATCCAAAACCGTTGGATATGCTGCCTACAATGCTAAAAATTGGAAGGAATAAAGCTAATAAACCAGACTCCTAGAAAATAACCCTCAATGTTAATTATTTAAACAAAATAAATTATTTTTAGGTTCAAAATTCTACTTTGCTGCTCACATCACAAAACTAGTTTACACCAATATAAATCCAGTAGTGTTCAGTGGGGCTTCTTCTCCAGTAAACACAGACTGGATTACTTATATATATTTAAAACACTTTGCTAGAGCTGACAACAATTTAACAAGGTCTTATAGCCTTTATCTAAGGTGAATTAGTTACTTGAAGACATACAAGAAATTTCCAAAGCAGACTTAGCAGTCAAGACATGAACTGGAAAAACGTGTCCTTTTCCAATTGTCATCTCCTCCTTGACTTAAAGGAGGGAGTGACATCCAGAAGAAACTTCCACAAGCAGACAGCATTTTGAACACAGAGAAAGCAACATTTTTTTTTTTTAAAAGAAGAGAGATTGCCATTACTCAAGCGACATAAAACATAAAATCAAATATTAGTGCTGCAACATTTACACCGAAATGAACATTAGCAATTAGATGATTTGATGCAAAGGTTTTTTTAAAAGATAAATGAATGTAATAACTTCACCCCACCCCACCCCGCCCCACCCCCACCCCCACGGCCCATCCCTTTTCTGGGCATTATTGATCTGGCTTTTCTCACTGAACAGGGGGGGACAGCAGGCTCTTGCAGTCAAACTGAGAAGTGGTGGTGGTGGCTACTGCATTTGTTTAAGCAAGTGTTCCTCACCACTTGGAACAGAAACATTTCAGCCTGCGGAGAGGCAGAGATGCTCCTTTTGCAATTGCCACGTTTGCAGAAACACATTCAATAAAAACAAATGAAGTAGCACCTCACTCGTTCCCTGCATGCCATTTGCTCCTCTGGTACACCAAAGCAGGAGGTGCAGCCCACGACAGAGAGCACCAATGCTTACAAACAGAGAAGGGCTCTCTCATACACCCAAGACTGTTTGCCTTAAAAGAAAGAAATGTGTGTGTGTGTGTATGTCGAGGGGGGGGGGAGAGAGAGATATTTGGCTTACCTTATTTTCTCCATCTCTGCCGCAGAGGCCTATAAGAAATCAAACAAGGAGCAAGTGAATGGCAAGGGAGCGCAGCTTGCCCAGGGCAGGTTAATGCATAGTTCAGGCTAGATACCCCAAGGACTTGCTGCCGGCCAGTGACTCCCAAGCCCACTGCGAACCGAGGCTAGGTCTTGGGGTGAGCATTAACACGAGCACACACGCACACGCACACACACCAACACACACGCACACGGGCTGAGAGCCTGAAACTCCAGCAGAACGCAGCAGGCTGCAGAAAAGACGCTTGGGCACCCAGGAGGCCCGAGCAAGCATGGGGTGACTCAATGTGGAGCGGCGAGGCAGAGGCCGGCAGAGAGGGAACGGGCTGCCAGTAACAGGTTACTGTGCCGCTCGGATGCCAGGAGAGAGAAACTTGAAATCGCAGGGGCAGAGCCCAGCAGCAGCAGCAGCAGCAGCAGCGGGAGGGGGGAGAAGGAGGAGGAGGAGGAGAAAGGGAAGGACGGAGGGAGGGACGCGGTAGAGCGATTTGAGGCTGCCGGCTGGAACCATCCAACGGTTTAAGCTTCGCTTGGAAACCGGAGATGTTTGGCACGGGCTCTGCGGGCGGGCGGGCGCGCGCGCGCGCGCGTCTTTTTTTTTTTCCTCGTCACGTTTCCAAAGATCTCGACAGATGGGAGCCTTGAAAGTCGGGCGGAGAGTTTCAATGATCAGAGGTTCTTCCCCCCCCCCGCCTCAATCACACACACTCCTCCTCCAAGCGGCCCCCCCCCAAGCCGTCCGCCCCCGTAATTCAGTGCCTTTTAAAATTAACAGCTCTCTGCATCTCTTTCTACACGCTCTTTACACCCCCCCCTCTCTTCTTTTCCTTCTCTACCGCTTTCTTTTCCTCTTGCAGCAGCGGCACCGCGCTGCACCAGCCGCCTCACACACCTCGGGGAAAGTTTCAGGGCGAGCCGTTAGCCTGAGCCTCCCCCTCTCCTTCTTCTTCCTCTTCTCCGGCTTGCAGCCCACGGACATGGCCAGGAGGAAGCCTCTCTTCACCCACCGGTTCCGCCCGTTCCCCGCAGAGCCGGGGAGGAGAGAGAGCGCCAGGCACACGCAACCCTTTCGCTTCATGTTTTTCGCATCCGGCAGCTGCGGGCTCTCTCTGCCTCCCGCAGCCTGCTCCTAACCTGCCGCTTTCCAGGTGTGCTGGACCAGAACTCCCAACAGCCCCGACCGGCGCAGGCCACGCTCGGCCGGGGATGATGGGAGATGTAGTCCGGGACGCCGGGTGTACGGAACCGGGACATCGGGAAGCCTCGCCGTTAACCCGTTGCTTCCCGGTGAAGCTACGGCTAGAGCGAGGCTCTGGTCTGCAGCGAGGTGAAGTGTCGCTTTATCCACCTGCCTCTTCCCGTCGCCGGATTCTTAGGACAATGAAACCCAGGACCTTTTCTCCCCGGTTTTGTGGGTTAGAGAGTAACCTCACAAAGCAAGCTTATCATCACACATTTTCTAAAAGTATCTGGCCTCCCCCCCCCACCAACAAGCTTCGTTCCAAAAAGTAAAAAAAATCCCTTACTTTTTAGGTGCTCTGATTGTATATACCTTAGCCTGTGCAACAGAAAGTGCTTAGAATACTTAGAAAGCTAAGAGGAATTAAAGTAGGAAATGAACTTCCATATGGCAACGTTTTGTTGTTTTCCAGTCAGAACAGATCCCCAAATCATTCCTGTTTTTTAGGATCCATTCACTTCACAGTTTCTATATTATGTGATATCGGTGTCTCCCCCCCCCCACCCCCCCCCCCCCGCCACAAACCATTGTTGCCTTGGCAGTTCTAGTGAAGTGCATGGAGAATCTATTGATTCACCTCCCCCATTTTCTCATATTGTTTGGTGTGCAAGAATAAACACCCTATCCAAATGTCACATCAATAGGTGTGCCTGATTACCCTAAATCTCAAGAGTAACAGTTGGCATATGTGTTGTGCAACTGGAATGCTCTGCGCCCCCCCCCACCGCATCCCTATGGCCTTGTGTTTCCCAAGCAACTCGCATAGGCTGGTGCAACTTCCTGAATCAGCCCACGTCTCCTATGTTTTACACAAACATAGGAGATCAAATTCAGGTACCCATCTGCATCAGTGCACATTCCTATGTCTGTGCATGCTTCATACAGCTGCGAGGAAAGAACAAAAAGGAAGATAAGAGGCGTGTAGATAACAGAAACATTCTTTTTGGCAAGTATTTTATCAGTGATGTCAAGGGAATATACAACGCACACGGTGGTGGACCCACTGTTTGATGAATGGGCCTTACTGGAAGGGGAGCAATCTTCAAAGGAAATCTAGCATAGTAATCTAACCTAGCAACATGTATAACTAATAGGCCTGCGCAGGTTGGCAGACATTTGCCTCATCGGTGTTCAGTAACGACATGATGTGCCTTATTGGATTCTTGTAGCTGAGAGAGACCTCTGCAAATGTGCTGACCATACACAAATTCCTCCCTGTTGGAAGGGAGGTGTGAGAAGCAACACAAATTAATTCATTCGGCAGCTTGGCCCTGCTTTTCCGAAGCAGCTTCAAAGGGTTGCTTGGTGAGAAGCATTAGTGATGCAAAGCATCCTTTCTAACTTTGTACTCTCCTAATAATTAGTATACTACCTCCCTGCCCTATGCAACCCCTCTTGGGATTTGCTCCTAGACTACTGAACTAGTGAGCAGGCAGGAATGCAACTAGAACTGGCCACAAATGGCTTTTAAAAACTCTTCTCCAAATTTGCAGGTAGAAAAATGTCCAAATTTTACTAAGAGAAGAAGAAAATGCCTTAAACGCCTTTTTAAAAAATCACTTTCTTAGGAAATGCAGCCTTCTTAATAGTGCTACTTAGACTTAGAATAACTTTATTGTCACTTTAAATGTACACTAATGGGCATATATTAAAATGAAATTATCCAGAGGGTCAACGTCATTGCCCAGAGGATCATTGGTTACCCTCCCCCCTCTTTGGAAGAGTTTTATAGCTCCCGCTGCCTTAACAAAGTTCAAAACATTCTTAAAGACCCATCTCATCCAGGGCACCCTTTTTTTGAACTATTATCATCTGGCAGATGGTATAGGTCAGAGGACAATAAAAACAAGGACAAATAGGCTGAAAAACAGCTTCTGTCTCAGGGCAATAACCATATTGAATTCTATGGAATAGTGCAATATCGGGTTTTCAATTTTAATTATATAGAATGTAAAGGATGTATGTTTGTGTTTTTATTTTTATAGTTATAATGTACATTGAAGACAGCATTTAATTTTGTTGTACCATGTGCAATGACAATAAACTAAACTAAACTAAACTAAACTAAACTAAACTAAACTAAACTAAATTTCGTTGCATATAGCTCTCAAAGGGTCACCACCTTCAATATACACTGTGTATATAAATGTGACAAAAAAATTATGCATGTACCCACATACCCACATATATTCTATGACACAGAGAAACAACACAGTCTAGTTTGGCTGTATATATGTACATGGTGAGAAAAACAAATCTTGCCAGTAGCACTACCTACCGTTGAAAAAAACCCATTGAAAGGAATGACATCTACCCTTCATATCAAATGAAAGTGTAGTTAGACAGAGAGGCTGCTGAATACTGAAGAGATGACTATGCAGCAATAGATATTTACACATACTCCTTGATCATGTAAAAACGTATTATTGAAATTCCCATTTTTCCCTGGAAGAAATTTCTAAAGCAAATTCTCTTTCATCCTAATAAATAAGAGGTGGAGAGGAAGTGGATAACCACAGAAATAATTCTCTGCCTGACACAAGGCAACTAGGGAGAAACAGATTGAAGAATAGAATTGACACTAAGATGTAACCAGACACTTTTCAAATTGATCAGCTACAACATAATATAGCACAATACAGTAAGGTTAGGACTCACCAACTTAGCACCTCCAAAAGTGTTGGCTACAGCTCCCAATAACTTAGCAATCAGAAAGGTCACAGAGCAACAACATAGAGCTGCATGCTACCCATCCTTGGAATAACTAGTTTCTGCATAAGGTGAGTCACAGTAATGGCCTTATTCAGGAAAAACCAATAGAAGGGAATATATGCAGTTCAGATCGAGTTGTAGAGTCCTTGGGACTGTCTAAGCTTGATTGTTGCTTGCAAACATTTCGTTACCTGACTTGGTAACATTTGCTAAAAGAGAATGGGGTTTTCTCTCTGTTTATAGTCTATTCTCAATCTAGCAGTAAACAATAGCCTAATTAAGGAACTACCAAGCAGAAAACAACACTGACAGGACAAGCTAATGTACATAAACAGAGAGCAAACCCCACTCCCTTCTAGCATTGAAATTGTTACCTAGTCGGGTAATGAAATGTCTACAAGTGAACAACCAAGCTCAAAGAGCCCCAAGGACTCCATATTTTTTTTAGGAAAGCCTAATTTCTAAATGGGGATAATATTACACACAAGGAATATTCCATGCATTAGTCAAATCCACAATCTGTAAGTATTATACAGCAATGCTGCATAATACTGCCATTTTTTTAAAGTTACATACTGCCATTCACACTGCCATTTTTTCAAGTTAGTGTATGTGTGTGTGTCCATGTGTGTGTCTGTGTATGTGTGAAAAATGGTTTGAAATGAATATTCAACTTCCAAAAAGCTCTTCCATTTCCATTGGTTTTAGCTTTTGCAAAGACGTCTTCATCAGATTTTATTGTGCTCCAACACATTATTCCACAAGGAACCTAGATAATAGCATAGAAGCTTGGACATAAAGTTGCTTGTGAACAAAAGCTATCAGGTGCAAATCTTAACATGACAATACTGGATAGTATAGATCTACTGTAAAGTATAGATCTTAAGTAACTCAGACAATAGCTCTGAGTGGCTAAACCTATTCATGGAGGAGCGAACCGAGCTTTGTTATTGTCTAATAGCTCATAAGGGTACATTTAATGGATCAACTCTTGTTCTTGGAGGTTTGAAAGATTTTTGAGATCACTAATTTATTTTTCTTATAGAAAGAGGTGATATGATGGAATTGAATCCTATCTTGGATGACCCATCTGTAAATAAAACCCTCTCAAAAACTCAAATTTTATCTCTACACATCAAATACGCCTATTTCAATTTGCTTTTCTATTGTAAGATAGGATATTTGGTAAATTGTGATAAATTTGGTAAATTTGGTTAATTGCAATTAGGAAAATTTATGTTTCAAAGTTCAATGAACAATAGTGTTCAGTAGAAGACCTTTGGTCAGTCTAATTCTCTCAATCTCACATGGTCCTTGTGAGAATAAACGAGGTACTGAAATCATAACTTCTGGAATTTATATAGGACCTCCTATTGCTCAGTAATGAATAATAATAGAACCAAAAGTTGTGTAATTTGTCCCTCTGAAAGCAGATCTTGAGGTTTCAAGTGTGAAGTCCAGAAAAATTTAACACCTAAAGCTCTCCAGTTTGAAAACCAAAACATGAATACTTAGATATAATGAACAGCTTTTTATAAATTGTTACCTGAGTACTTCAGTTACAGACTGGCTCACACATGTCTATTCATCATTCAATACTAGTAGTAGAGACTGGAGGGGGTAAAATGAGATTTTTATATCCATTCAAATGATTCCCCCCCCCCATTTCATCAATCTACACAATAAGTAGTTGAGTACTCCACTGATGTGGGTGGGCCAATTTTGTGTTTAGCACTATTACGCCTCCATGGAAGGTTTGGCATAAGAGCTTGTACGTGAAGTAGGAAAATTTGAAGCTGAGGCAACATATATATTCAATTACCATAATTGGTTTAGGAAAAGAAGATGATATTTTTAAAAATAATCTTCTAAAGTAAACACTTTGTATTTTTGCGTTTCAGAGAGTGAAAATCATCTAGGGTGGACATCTAGAGTTACCTGAAAGCCAAGAGCCATTTCTAGATGAATTTTCTACAATGCTTCAGATATATGTTGTCCACAGAACCAGCTCCACATTTGCATTCACATCACTCGGTTACTTAAACATTTAGACTTAACAGAAGGATAGATGGATGGATGACCTGGCTTCATTAAAAAGCATGTTACAGAAATATTGTGATGATTCATTTACAGATGAAAGTCTACCATGAATGTGCAAATCAGCCCTGATTTTCACAGAGATAGATAATAAGATC